ACTAAAGAAATTATATATATATATATATATATATATATATATATAAAACTCGAAATAAAATAAAAAAGTATTTATTTAGTTAGTTAGCCAGAATACATACAGGCAGATAATAATTTGATAAAAGTAATTGTAGATAATTTCTATTACATTGTACAGTAATCTTGAACAGGTTTGCCCAATTTAATATGGGCAAATTCTAATCTTTTACCCCCTTCCTCATGAATTCTTCCCTTCAGGTTTTCCAGAAGTGCTCTGTTAAGGAGGTAGGGCGCAAGGGTTTGGTAGAGCCACAGATCAGAGAGCTAAGACCTGGGGTCTTACTGCCCCTTAAAGATAAGAAGGTAAAGGATATGATGTCCTTTAGTAGACCCTCCAAATGCCTGCCTGTGCCAGCCGCTTGTCCCTGATGGCTGTTCTTTGCGATGCTTGTATGGCTTTCTTACCCTCTGCTAACTTCCTCTGTACACTCTTGTGATGGAAAGCTGACACCAAAAATGTTCTCACTGTTCTTTGAGTTAAAATTCTGTTCCTTTTCTTTTATTTCTACTGAACTCATGACCTGTGCTGATTGTAGTGATGTAGCGTGAGCCAAAAGGGGAAACAGATATAATTGGCTTTGTGTGCCCTGAGTCATTCAATCAATAAACTAGATTTTCGATACTGCTGTCAAAGGGTGTTGTGTGTGTGTGGTTTTTTACATTTATCATTTTAATATAAAATGTGTGATCGCAATTGGAGACAATTCAATTTCCAAAGCTTACCTGAGGGTATGTGATTTTCAAACATTTATCCTTTATAAGGTAATGTACCTTATATGTACCTTTGAAAATCACGTACTGCTTGAATTATCTAACTAGGTTTAGCATAATCAGATTATCCTGGCCAAAACATTAGCAAATTTAGCTGATTATCAGGACCTAATTTAACATGGCTGTCTAGTTTTCTCTTCAAAAAGGGTCAAAGTCTAAATCATTTGTATCAGTAGAATGCAACTTAGAATTTGTTTGTTATTTAGGATTTTACAGGACACTTTCAGCTAGCAGTCTGGAGTTCAGAATTTGTTCTTTGATCTTCTCACTTTGCTGCATGCCTGCAACTGTTTAAGCTTCCTTATTTAATGGGTTTTCAGTCTCACTTTTTCTCTCTTTACCTTCATTTTCACAGTACTTTCTTACCGTTACAAATTGTGCAGTGTAATATAGAATTTACAGGTGAAAAATTACCAATAAGCAACTTGTGCTCAAAATTGAATTGTGAACTTGTGCTCAAAAAATGAATTCAGTAAACTTTAATTGGAAAAATAAAATTGGAACAATCTGGAAACAGTGTTGGTACATGCATTACAAATTTAAAATGACGTTTACATTTTTTTTTCTTTTTTGTGTATCATTTTGGGCAATTTGTTCAGATTAGTTCACAAATGCCTTAGGTCTAGCTCCAAATTATAGTTTTAATACCATGAAGTTTGTTTTTAAATTACTAATCCCATGCATTGCATATTTTAAAATATGATTATGATTACTCTAGAGAAGAGAAATGGTCTGTATGTCTAGCTATAATGTATTATTAAGGATAGAAAACTAATTTTATGACAATTCTTAATATTACACATATTTTGATACCGTATATATGGTAGAATATATGATCCAAGAATGTGTTTTCGTCAAAAGCAGCCTAAAGGATTTCAGTCGTCTTAGAGTAGTTTGTAGACTGAGATTGTTTCCTTGTGAAGTGATGTTGTTCCCCACAAACCACAGAATACTGAAAACCAAGATGACAAGAATCCTGACACAGATGAGAACTGCAACAATACAGTTCGTCAGAGTCCAGGGGTGAGCTGCAGTGTTATTACACAATTATCATAAACTTAATAAATAATAATAATAAACCCCTACAAGAAAATTCATCATGTTATGATAGTATGATCTCTGTAAATAAATAAATACATTAATAAATAAATATATAATAGATAAAACCCCTTTACCAAAATAGTTATGCAATAGTGTTCTGTGAAACCTCATAAAGACCCAGTAATGGCCAAGTCAATGGTAGAAAATTATTTTTTACCAGGCAGGGTTACTAACAAATTTATATTTGGCTTATGAAACCATACCTAATTACATTTTTTTTTCTCTGACATTTGACCTTTTAAGGTCATCTACTATGTCACAGCTCAGATCTCCAAGGGGACTCGATCAGCCTCAGAGGAATCAACAGAGCGTAGAGACACATCACAGTCTCCCCCATCACAGGTGTCACATGTCAATGCTTCTGACCAATCCCAAAGCCAGCTGCAGGTATCCACTAACAAATTTGGTGCCCTCAAAAGCAGTGGCCCAGCCAGCTCTCCTAGCACTCTACACCAAAATCAGTTGTCTCGTTCAGCCTCGTTGAAGTCAAATCCACCCTCTTCATTGGAAGAAGTTCCAGCTAGCCCAACCCAAGGGAAAGTTCATGTGGTCAAGGCTGCTCAAGTGCAGGTTAGCATAGAGGAGAGGGTAGAGTCTCCAACAGCAATTTGCTCACCAGTCTCTTTTGAAGACACTGTACCGATTCTTTCTAAAGCAATCCCTGTTGGGCCAGATTTAGCAAATCAGAAACATATATTTGGTTCATCCAAGGTGAAGGAAAGGAAATTTGAAGAAATGGAGGAAAATAATGAGGCCTCTCTCAGTCCCGATCTGTCAGGAGAAGAGCCACCTCCGCCTCCTCCTGATAACTTTGCCTTTATGATCACTAACACCAAGGTACAAGCCCTTTCCACTGGAGAGTACCATCAGCTAGTCAATGCCAAGAAAGGTAGTGTGCAGACGGTAACTGTTGGCAGCAAACGACCAAGTGCTTCTGGAAGTGGCATGACATCAGGAGGTGATGCCAGCACCAATGGTCCCACTGGTGCTGACAATGCCAGTAAAAAGCCAGTCATCATCATCTTTGATGAGCCAATGGATATCCGCTCAGCATATAAACGCCTCTCTACTGTCTTTGAATGTGAGGAGGAACTAGAGCGGATGCTTGCAGAAGAAAGAATAGATGAGGAGAGTGAGGAAACCGAGGAAGAAGAATGGACTACGGGTGTGCAGGTCAAACAGAATAGAGATGGTAGGGATTCTGGAAAAGGTACTGGTTCAGATTCTCCTGCAGATATCAGAGACAGTCGAGTCATTAACTACTCTTCTTCATCCTCATCTTTATCTGAGGGAGGGGCATTAGTAGATGTTACTGGTGATGCAAAGCAAGATGGAAAGAAGAAGTTTAAGTTGAAATTCCCCAAGAAACAGCTAGCAGCATTAACCCAAGCCATTCGAGCTGGAAGTAAAACAGGCAAAAAGACTTTGCAGGTTGTTGTCTATGAGGATGAGGAAGAGTCAGATGGAGCTGTCAGACAACACAAAGAGACCAAGAGGTTTGAAATTGCTTGCTCTAAAACAGAGTCTTCAAAATCAAATCTGCAGGAACCTAATGGACGAACTAACGAGATTCGTAAGAACACCTACAAAACCCTTGACAGTCTAGAGCAAACTATAAAGCAGCTAGAGAACACAATTTCCGAAATGGGACCGAAGTCTTCAGAAGAGCCTGAAATCTTGGTGAAGCCTGAAACTCAGGACAATACGACTGAAGAGACTCCAGGACACTCAGAGAAAAGACTTGCTCCCAAAACCTTGGTCCCTAGGTCGAGTTCTGCCAGCAAAGGTCCTGGTCTACGAAAGAAGACAAAACCACAGCTCCTTCCTCGGCCTGCCATCATTCCAACTTCTGGGGTCTCAGTCAAACCAGTTCCCACCCAGCAGGTCTCTCTCTAGCTCCTATTACCTTAGCAAAGCCTATGGGTCTGTCCCTCTCCTCTTGCTCACAACAGTTCCACTCTATTCAAGGAACTTCTGAAGAACTCCTGTGGTGGAGGCTACCAACTCTGGGATCTGAACTTTTACACACCTTCACATATTTTTATAAATATGGTGTATTTATTGCTGGAGTGGTGTTTCATAGATAGACCTTTGTATGTTCACTGATGGTGCTCTAATCTTGGGTTAAGGCAGCCATCAACTTTCAGTCTTAGAACCACAGTCTCACATTGTTTCTGGTTCTATTTTGTGGGTTCTAAGGCAGTCTTTAAAGAAACTTTGTTGGTATTCTGGGCAGGTTTGCATGCTTCCTTACATCTCTTTCTGGTATACTCTACAGTGTCATGGTGATACCATATATGTGTTGTGCAAGCTTTGTCTTGCTATGATGTAGGTTTCAAACCACCTCAAATATGGTTCTCTTTTTTGTTTCTTTCTTTTTATTCCTTTTTTCTTCTGTTTGGTTTAAATCCTTTTTGCAGAATGCCAGCGTGGTCTCACCTACTAGTCGGATGCCAGTGCCTGTTTCTGCCAAGGTGCGGCAGCAACCGGGCACCTCAGAGAAAGAGAGGGCAACAAAACCGCAAAAGCTACAGGACTCTCAGAGGCAGTTCCGCCAGGTAGTCTTATCATAGGACCACTTGTCCAGTCAGAAAGATACACACACACCTAGCCATAGACTAAATTCTCGAGAGGAAAGTCAGTTTTTGCAGGGCTTGTATTGAGAGGGAAAAGAACTAACATAAACCTGATAAAACCGAACAAACTCTTCTTTGGTTGAAGGCCTAGTGCCGAAAGCATTCTTTGAAATGTTGATGTTTTTTCCTGCTACATTTTTTGAATGGCTGTGACCGAAGGCAACTGACTGTTATTTCATAATACCATCAAATGCTTCTGCATGTTTGCTTTGCTTGTGGCTTTGGCGCTGTAAAGGACAAACTAATTTATAATAGGTAAAGAAAGATATATAAACACCACAGCCACTGCTTACCTAACATTATCGAATGCTTAGACTAGGGTCTCTTTAACTAAAATCCACTGAAATCTAACCCCTACACACTCCAGTGCCTGTGACACTTCAACTTCCTTTGTAAGCCAGGATGCTTCTCTGTTTAACCCATTTTTGGACCCTTTCCCTGTTTACCTCTCGGAGGAATCCGCAAACCCTAGCCTCACTGCCCAGGGTCCACAAATCCACTAAGTCCCCATTATCCTGTGGATGTTTTCCCAAATTGTACCTCCTCTATTCCTCCTGGAGCCTCCTTTGGTTATGAGTACTGGTTGGTTGCACTCACTCTGCGCATTACTCACTCTATAACTTACAATCCTACTGTCCCTCACCTTCACTCTCCTTTCCTTCTTACAATCTACTTAAATTGATATTTTTCTATATTCTCACCCTCAAGACAGATAGTTCATTTATATATGTAGTTTCTATCTTTGATGATATGTCATGATTAACTGTAGATCCCAGTGGAATGATTTAAAACATGCCTAGAAATTTTGCATATTTTAATCATAAATTCCCTATGTTGACAATCAGTGTGTTTTGGCATCTTTGTTTGCAGGCTAATGGAAGTGCTAAGAGATCTGGAGGAGATCCCAAATCCACTTCTCCTACCGTGCCTGCTTCTAAAATTCCTGCTTTTTCCTCTAGTACGGGACAAGGCTTGTCCCAGTCTGATTCTACTAATATTGTTAATTCTTCTTCTCCTTTATCTTCTTCCCTTCCCACTAGCAAATCCTCTATCCCTCCTCGATCCAGTTCCACCCCTTCCTCTCATATCCCCTCCGTTTCTAATGGTTCTTTAAAATGTGCCCCTCCCACTCACAGCACTAAAGGCCTCTCTATTCCCACACAGACACAAAATGGTCGACCTTCCTCCTCCTCTTCCTCTTCCTGTTACCACTCCCCTTTATCCCCGACTATGTTGAGTCAGAGTGCGAAGAGTATCCGCACCATTCACACACCCAGCTTCACCAGCTACAGTCGGCCACACAACGGGAGTGCCAGTAAATCAGCTATTCCCACGGTAACTGTCGCCAAAGATGCTGCGTAGAATGCTTCGCTGCTTCGCAACCATTTATGTATCTCTTAATGAGGTGGAGTTTCTCCTGATTTTACTTTGATTAATTTTTTTTTTTAATTGTTTATTTTTGAACAGATACAGTTGACGTATCAGAGTTTTGGCATGACTGGCTATATTACGTTATTATTTTCTCTGTTAAAGTCAAGGGCCATCATCCATTAGTTAGTGTTTGAAACTTGAATCTCTGCAAATCATGAACTTATAGAAAGTTAAACTGTTTTATTTTTAAAACTAAAAAAGGATTTAACTGCAGAGAGCAGGCTCTTGATCAAAGATTTTACAGAGCACTTCATTTGAAAAGAATATTTATTTTTCATACAAGTTGAAGAGAGACTAAAAAGTACAACAGTTAAAGCATGTAAACAATGTTTTGGTTATTAGTATACTCTAAATGATTGTAGATAATTTTCATTTTGCATTTTTTGTAAGTTGACAGACATTGGTTGTAGCGATAATAGGTGAAAAAAGTACTGTAGGTTTATTAACGATTAATATAAATTGACAAACATTGTGTCTGTTTTTCTTTCTTTCTCTCATGCACTGCCAATGTCTTTAAGATTTATCGTTATAAATTTACAACAGTTTTACAATTAAGTTGTCTGTCTTTTCAGTAGTTGTGCCTGTTTGCCAAAGTTTGTCATTTACATCCTTACAACTGACTATATATACTGTGTTAGACACTATGTACATTTAGGATAGGTTATACCTAACAACCTACCTATGTCAAAAACCCTTGATTTACTCATGCAGTCTATGGCTCTTAAATTAATGAGTATTGATGTCTAAATGTAAACTAAAAATTGTAGTGATTGATAAAATTGCTCTCTACTTCACATGTACATACTGTAACATCTCTATTTCAGAGATTGTCTTTAGTTTTGTTAACATATTGTACCAAAGTTTGTTTCTATGCATGCCTATACAAAATTGTAGAAAGAGAGAATGTAATAGAAAGAAAATCATACTTGCACAGACAGATTTTGTAAATAAATGTCTTCTTTGGTTTTGTATAGCTTTAATTGCAGAAGCAATCTGTGCAAATGAGTGTATATTAAAACAGTAAAGTTCTGCATGCTTGTCGTTCACATGGCTGTGGTTTCTCTACTGCAACACTGCAAGCCCTTCTATTAAACATTTTGGCAGATAGTTCAGCTGACTTGTGTTTTTTATCCTATATATTTTCTTTTACACTTGCATAGTAATGACATTCAGTACACATGTTGTGAAGTGTATTGCACCAGTCAAAAATTTGGACAAGCTTTATTGAATGTATGTAATGTGTGCTGTAGTCAAAAGGTTTCTACACTGAAGAATCTGAAACAAAGTTTTAAGATTTAATTGATATGATTTGTTGAAAAATATTCAGAAAATTCCTATGTTTCCATCTGTGCTATAGTTTCAATGACTTTAATATTATGTTAAAAAGTGTAGTAATAATACAGAACGCATATACAATAGGCATGTCCAAACTTTTGACCAGTATTGCATAAATGACCAGCTTTCTTACTGTTATTTTATAACTTAATAAACCATAGCCTATAGTGGATTTGCACACAAATATCTATAACATTATTGTGAATTTGAACAATGCCAGATTTGTCTAGTGAAGAAAAAGTTATGCAGATGTAATCATCACAGGTAAAGAGACCAGTAGAGGGTGGTGTGTGTTAATGGGGATGTTGTAGAAGAGCTGATTCATTTTTGTGTGATACCTCCTACATAAAGACAAAGCATATGACTAAAAGAGGAAACACATGAGCACACACAACATTCAGTTGGTCTATAGTCAAAGGAGGCATTCATCAAGTCAATGTCTGAGGAAGACTCTAAACTTACTTGTAAGTACCCAAATAATAAGAGCGATACTAATGATATTAGTATTTTTTACTTTATTTAATGTTTTCTTTGTGACATAAAAAAATTGGTGACATTAATTTTTATTATATATATTATTATTTTTTGTGTGTGTGAATTTACCATTTACCTTATTGAATATTGTTTGACTTAAAGTTCAGTATATGTTTATATATTTTATAAATATGGAATGCTGCTCTCTTGCTATTTATGCTATTATAATAAAGCAGCATTGATATAAATAGACATTTTAAGTTCAAAAGAATATGATCAAATTGCTAGACAAGTTCTTAGAGCGTGTATGTATGTATGTATGTATGTATGTGTGTGTGTGTGTGTGTATTATATGTATGTATGTGTGTGTGTGTGTGTGTATGTATATATATATATATATATATATATATATATAAACATTTATACAATCAGTTTGTCACTTTCTACATTTCTGGAGAAAATAATATTGCTAAAACCGGTCAAAAAGTTTTACGTTTTGATATGATTTATTTAAAATTTTTGGAAAATGCCCATGCTTCCATTTGTGTGAATGTACAGCTCCAATGACTTCACTTTTATACTATAATGTGTAGTAATAATACAAAATACAGGTATGTCCAAGTTTTTTTTTTTTATAGATCATATATAAGACATAGACATCATATAAATAGGCATTTCTAGAGAAAATACTACTGCTAAAACCTGACTGTCTGATACTTGTTTTGACTCATGCCATTCTCCAAACAGAAGCTCAGTCTCATAGGATAGACCTGCGCTATGTCGAATCACTCTGTGGAGGGGATTTACCTCAGCTCTCATGTGGAGAACATCCTGCTCGCTGCCTTCTACATTGTCATCTTCATCCTCTCAGTCCCGAGCAATGCCCTGGCACTTTGGGTGTTCTGCCACCGCAACACCAACAACACGCCTTCCAAAGAGTTTCTGAAGCACCTGGCTATAGCGGACATGTCTTACGTCTTGGTGCTCCCCATGCGAGTGATCTACCACATGTCTGACGGTCACTGGCCTCTTGGGGAAGGGGCTTGTCGCGTGGTTGGTTTCCTATTCTTCGTCAACCTTTACTGCAGCATGTATTTTATGACTTGCATCAGTGTAGACCGTCTGTTGGCTTGCGTCTTACCACATAAAACTCAGAATCTGAGAAATACCAGGAATGCCAAAGTGGTCTGTGCAGTCCTGTGGGTCATGGTGACTGTTTCCATGTTGCCTGTCCTATTCTCTAAAAAAGAAGTGACCAGACAAATGCAGAACGTGACAGTGTGTGAACAGCTGTACATAGAGAAGTCCTCCAGTCCCACCGGTGCGTTGGTGTCCACTGCTATTGCATTTGTGATACCTCTGGTCACCCTGAGTGTTTCTTACATTCTCATATTTGCCAAAGTAAAACAGTTGACTTTTCAAGAAAGGACGCATGCTCAGCGTAAGGCAATGAGAATGATCGTACTAACAGTGGTTAACTTCTTGATTGCATTTGTGCCCTATCATATCCACCGATTTGTATTTATCCTACAACATGATGACTCGTCAAGGTCAGAATCCGAAAGGCAAATGTTGCATTTAGGAAATCGCATCACCTCAGCTTTAACATGCATAAGTGGTGTGTTGGATCCCGTCATGTACTTCTTTCTGGCTAGAAATTATCAAGAAACCCTGCTGCTGCTTTGTGGTAGAAACCCTAAAGATGAACAATCAAATACATGATCGGATGAGAAATGCAACTACATCTTCTCAGCTGTTAACTGCCAGACATACTGAAACTCATTATCTGTAAAACAAGGGTTAAAGTGAAAGTAGAAATGGAAAAGCTATGGCTGAATTCATACTGATTCATTCAGAAACTTTTTCATTCTTGACGTGTAGTATGATTCATGTGTGAACTCCTATTTCCAGATTACAAGATGACAATATCTCATATGACAGACGTGAATGACAATGACTAGGTCTTTGTGTTTATTTAACTTTTTTCTGTCAACATTTATCATTTATCAATTAATTTATCATATATAATTTTTGTATATACTTTTAGTTGTTCAAAATATGAACAAATAAAATATTCTTTCAAAATCTCATATCTTTCAAGGTCAACATAAACACATTTTACACACCAGCACTCTTAGCAAAAGTTCTTTATTGGCATTGATGGTTCCATGAATAACCTTTAACAGCCATGTAACCTTTTCATTTCACAAAAGTTTTTTTGGGGGAAAAAATAATTAAATGTTATTTACAGAAGAAAAAAAAATGGTTCTTTCAAGAACTGATCACTAAAAAGATTCTTCTATGGCATTGCTGTGAACCACCCCTTCTGGAACTTTTATTTTTAAGTGAACATTTGTAAAATGTTTTTGGTTAATGTTTTTGTGATATTTAGCCTACTTGTATTTAACCTACAAGTAAGGTGTATATTAACCACAGACCTTATTTAACTTCTTTTTAAATGGGAAATTACACAGGCATCCCATGACCTACAAACTGACTTTACAATGAAAACCGAGACGTAGGGCCTGTCCAAACACCCATACTTGCAGTCTTGGCCAATTGAGAAGAGCACACGCGCACAACAGGAAGTAAGTGCGTAAAGCTGAGTTCACACTACCAGCGACTTTGTCGCTGCATGTTGCCAGTGGCTGGCAGTTGCCTAGTAACATTTATGAATGACATTCACTGAAGATACTCCATGTTGGGGCAGTCGTGGCTTAATGGTTAGAGAGTCAGACTTGTAAACCAAAGTTTCCAGGTTTGAGTCTCGGTACCGGCAGGGATTGTAGGTGGGGGGAGTGAATGACCAGCACTCTCTCCCACCCTCAATACCACAACTGAGATGAGAGCCTTGAGCAAGGCACCAAACCCCCAACTGCTTCCTGGGTGCCTGACTTCACTCCTATTGGTTGTCGCTCTTAATTTGCATAAAGTTAAACATATCTCAACTTTAGGTGCGTTCTACGTCTACCTGACCACCTCAGATTGATTAGGTGCTATGTTTAGGCATTGATAGTGCAACAGTTCTGAGTCCAAGGGTGTGAACAGCTCCAAGTAGAACGTCACGTGTTGTCATCTCGAAATCACAGTAATTACGACATGGTGTGAATACAGCATTTCTTGCGTCACTGGACAAGGGATTGTAGGTGGGGGGAGTGAATGACCAGCCCTCTCTCCCACCCTCAATACCACAACTGAGATGAGAGCCTTGAGCAAGGCACCAAACCCCCAACTGCTTCCTGGGTGCCTGACTTCACTCCTATTGGTTGTTGCTCTTAATTTGCATAAAGTTAAACATATCTCAACTTTAGGTGCGTTCTACGTCTACCTGACCACCTCAGACTGATTAGGTGCTATGTTTAGGCATTGATAGTGCAACAGTTCTGAGTCCAAGGGTGTGAACAGCTCCAAGTAGAACGTCACGTGTTGTCATCTCGAAATCACAGTAATTACGACATGGTGTGAATACAGCATTTCTTGCGTCACTGGACACGCCTACATCCTGTCGCCATCGGTCACTGACTGTCGTCGGAAATCGCCAGCTCTTTATTGAAATGAATGGGATTGTGTCGCATTGTCGCTGCGTGTCACTGGCAGTAGTGTGAATGGGGCTTTAAAGGCTCGGTTATATTCCAGTTCGGATGCATACATATACTGTTAGGATTCAGAAAGGAGAGGATTCAATTTGCAGGGTAATACACAGTTTATTAGGAAAACAGGAGATCAAGGGGTAACAAAATAGCCACAAGGGCAAGACTGTATAATGTCGACAGTCAATGACGGCCTCAGGTTGCAAGACAAAGTCCATGGAACGGTAATGCCCAGCCAAGTGCAGTCTGCAACTCAGGAGGTCAAGGATGTTGGCGAACGAGACAGGGGGAGCAATGGGCAGTGATGGCAGGTGAGGCCGGGAGAAGAGGAAGGGAGATGGCAGCAGGGAAGCCGGTTGTAGCAGAAAGATAAGCACAATCCAGCAACCAGTGAAAAAGGAGACTGGAGAGAGAGAAAAAATAAAAAGTAAAAGAAAAATTAGACAAATCTAATCTGAAGGCAAAACCACAAGAGATAAAAAAAGGAAAAGGGAAAAGGAAAGAGACAGGGGGAGCAATGGGCAGTGATGGCAGGTGAGGCCGGGAGAAGAGGAAGGGAGATGGCAGCAGGGAAGCCGGTTGTAGCAGAAAGATAAGCACAATCCAGCAACCAGTGAAAAAGGAGACTGGAGAGAGAGAAAAAATAAAAAGTAAAAGAAAAACTAGACAAATCTAATCTGAAGGCAAAACCACAAGAGATAAAAAAAGGAA